GGCTTTGATTTTTTTTTCGTGTTAAAAAAGATGTATGCAAGTTTGTTACTTTTTGGGGCCGGGGGCTTTGTTTTTTTATTTGCATAATCAAAAGATATATGTGAGGCAGCCTGGTGAGATCAGGCGCTCATCAAAATAATGAAACTGAAGAAACAGGCATTTTTCCGCGAGTTTGGCAATTTTGATCGAAATTTTGTTCTTTGGCTCAACACCTTTTGTGCACATTTAAGAATCCATTTCTGTGTGGATTTTACTGAGAAAACGTGGGTTAAATGCACAAAAAAATGTGAATTGACAGTTTCCACGGACTTTCAGGCTGTTTAAATAACCAAATTTTGGCGGCCATTTTCTCACTATTTTATCTAAGACGCCAGATGATCCATACACCCTTCAATCGCAATTATATATAGACTTTGTATTCAAGATAAGTGGGTATTTCTTTCATCAAAAGCAAGGCAAATGAACTTGCGTTAAGGCGATACCAAGAACTCCACATGCTCAAAAATTGATGAACGCCTGATTTCTCAGCGTTGTTACTCATATATCGACTGCCCAGTGTAAGACTACGTCACGTCTTGTCTCATCATTTTTCAGAATTGTATAGGAGAGTCTTACACTAAGTAGTCAATATGCAAATACATAGATATGTTACTTTTCTGTTTGGGGGGGGGGGGGGATGAGGGGATGTTAATTAAAAAAAGGTTCTTTTGGGTCATCTTCTATGCTTTTCTTTTTCTTTTTTCCCCCCACTCCAGTTTATACTCTTTCTGTATAATTTAATGGTCAAAGTCGTGGAAAATTATCATCTTTATTAGTACTTTTATTGGTATTGTTTTGATGTTAAAAGTATAATTACTATTTTTAATGCTGGACAATCACCAAAGACAGTGAAAATAAAATAGAAGCAATAGAAATGTGGTTTCTTATGAGATTGCTAAGAGTATCGTGGAAGGAAAAGAAGTCAAATGAGGTAGTGCTTGATGAAGCCCATGTGGGACGCTCAATGTTAAAAACAATCAGGAAACGACAAATGCAGTTTTTGGGACACCTGAATAGACATAAGGGTCTTGAACATCTAGCTAGCTCTCACTGGCAAAATTGAGGGCAAGCGAGGCTGGGGTAGTCCCAGAACAACATACTTAGGGAACCTCAACAAATGGGTAACAGGGAAAGATCAGGGAAAGATCAGGGAAATGTAGCTTTTTTGAGAGCGTCCGAGCAAAGGAATAATAATAGATAGCATTTGTATAGCGCACATCCCCGCTCAACAGCAGGCTCTATGCACTTTACACTATATCATTACCCCAGCAGACCATAGAACACTCCGAAACATTCCCGAGAAGCATACAGTGCAAGCAGCCGATTAAGCGCTCAAACACTAACAAACTGACAAGATCTTTCGCTGTCTATAGCCGGGTACCCTTTCCCACCTGGGTGAAGTGAGGAAAATTCGTGTAAAGTGCCTTTCCCAAGGACACAGCGTCGGCCCCTGACGGGATTCGAACCCACGACCTTACGGTTGCGAGTCCGAGAGCCTAACCACTAGGCCACCATGGAAAACCATGATCGCCGATGTCTGTCGCAGATCTGGCACCGGATGATGATGATGATGATGATGATGATTATGATGATGATGATTATGATGATGATGATGATTTGCACTCTCTCCTTCCCCTCTTCTCCACAGTCGTTTTTCCACACGGTGCTCCAGAACAGTCGGTTCTGCCAGCAGTCCGTGGACAACAACCTGCACATCACCAACTGGCGGCGCAAGCAGGGCTGTAAGTGTCAGTACAAGCACATAGTGGACTGGTGCGGGTGCTCGCCCAACGACTTCAAGATCACAGACATGGAGAAGTTGTTGGTGAGATGCTCGTTTGTGGGGTTGTTTTATTAAATAGAGAGAGAGAGAGAGAGAGAGAGAGAGAGAGAGAGAGAGAGAGAGAGAGAGAGAGAGAGAGAGAGAGAGAGGGGGGGGAGGGAAAGAGAGGGAGAGAGAGAGAGAGGGGGGAGGGGAGAGAGAGGGAGAGGAAGGAGGGAGGGAGAGAGAGACAGTGAGAGAGAGAGACAGTGTGAGAGAGAGAGAGAGAGAAAGAGAGAGGGGAGAGAGAGGGGGAGGAGGAGGGAGGGAGAGAGCGAGACAGTGAGTGAGAGAGAGAGAGAAGGGGGGGGGGAGGAAGGAGGGAGAGAGAGAGAGAGTGAGAGAGAGAGGGGGGGGGAGAGAGAGAGAGGGAGAGGGGGGAGGAAGGAGGGAGAGAGAGAGAGACAGTGAGAGAGAGAGAGAGACTGTGAGAGAGAGAGAGAGAGAGAGAGAGAGAGACTGGATGTGAGCGATGGGTGTTGAGTTGAGAGAGAGAGAGTGAGAGAGAGAGCAAGAGAGAGAGAGAGAGAAAGAGAGAGAGAGAGAGAGAGAGATTTCAGGAAAGATAAGAAAAAATTCTGACCCCACTCAGATTTGACCCTCGAATTTCCATGAATAATAAATATAATGATTATAACAGCCCAAGGTTTAAGCGTAAGCATTTTTTTCTGCTAGTTTTAGTTTTACTGTTAATGTTTATTCTTATTATGAACCTGAAATTCCACTGTTTGCATTGTGTTGAAAAGGATCAGGGATTGTTTTCCTAAAGTTTCACTGCGGATTGCAATGACGACAGTGACAGCGTACAGCTAAAATGACAACTTGTGAGTTAAGCAAGGGGAGATTATCACTAAATTGCTGACATAGCCTGTTGGAAGGGAAACGACTTTCTAATAGTTTTTTCCCCTGGAGCAGCCAAGCAGAGAAATAAATGCCGGTCGTGGATCCCTGATGTCTGATTCAGATCTGGATCTAGCACTTCAAGAAGAAGATAAAAGATAGATGTTTATCTTTCGTTTTTTTCTTGTTGATTGTACCTTTTTTTTGAGCTGACGTTACACACTACAGTATGGCAAGATTGACTAGGTTCTTTTCGTTTACCCGAAAATCTTCTTTTCTAAGAATTGTTCTTGATCTTGCTTAGTTTGTTGGGGAAAAAAATTTCTCTGGTGTGCTGTAAATTCATGTCCTTCTTTCTTAATGTCTTCTCCTACAGAACTTTGACAAGAAACCTGTGTTCTTTGCTCGCAAGTTTGAGGCCGTCATCGATCAGGAAATCATCAACTCGGTGGACCGCGCCTTCCACGGATTCATCATGAAAGGTTTGCATGCTCTGCTTGAGTTTTTTGCTCATCTTGACTCTGAATACAAACGATAGCTTAAAAAATGAGATATAAAGTAAGAAGCGATTCTGCTAAATTGAGGTATCATTATTTCCAGAGTCCCCCCTTCAAGTTTCTTCATTTTCACATTAACATAATCATGTGGATTTGGTGTTAAAGAATGAAAATGTGATTGTGTTCACAGGGTGGGAAAACATGGAATGGAGAAAATGTGACTCCGATATTTACTGACATTTCTGTAACATGCCAGTATTACTGTCGTAAGCTGCCGAAATGCCTTTTTTTTCCATTCATAGCAGTTTTGAGATAAAAGAGGTTTTTGTTAGCGTAACCATTTAAAAATAGCGTTCTTCCCAAATTTGAATTGTAATATTTTCAAAAACTAGTCGCAGATTCACTTTTATTTTTCCACACTTGTAGGGTAACTGATCAGGCTTTTCATCTAGCAAATAAAAAAATTTGGTGCCAAAATGAAAAAAAAGTCGTTTTTGTCAGCTTAGGGCAGCGTACCTCTTGAAATAAGGTAAAGCACAGAAATTTAGCAGTAATTATGGGAACCCTGTCATAGATTTGGTCTCAATTTTTTAAAAATATTTCGATGAGTACATCTGGTGTTTGACCTGTCTCAATGTGTCATGTGTTGTGTGCGTGCCCCCAGAACTCCCCGGCCTGAGCAGCTACTGGCAGAACACGTTCCACCACCTGGACACCAGCACCAAGGTCAAGGACGCGGCCCGCACCATCTACAGGTCCCTGACACACCACACGGCTGAGCAGCTGATGCAGGTCTGACCCAACAACAGCTTTTTTTGTTACCTGATCTTTTTATTCAACAGAAATTTTGTTGCATTTTCTTTTTGGATTAAATTTTAATAATAAATCCCTGGCCTAGATTCTTTATGCGGTAATGTATCTTTTAATGTTGACAAGTCTAATTTACTATGATCGAGAATAGTCTTGACAAGTCTAATTTACTATGATCGAGAATAGTCTTGACAAGTCTAATTTACTATGATCGAGAATAGTCTTTAAGTTTAAAGTGAAATTTACAGCATCTTATGACAACTATGTTTGCCGTTATTATCGTGAAGTGAAAACAACATTCATCATGTCCCTAGAAAAATCTCCAAGCCTTTTGTTCTTATTTTGATGACTTCATAGGTGGAACATTTACCGCCTTGCTTTGTGTCCTAAGGTAAGGCACTTTACAATATGAATGTCCCACTTGGCTTGGTCCTTCTGGAGATGGACGTTAAACTTGGAAGTCTCGCCTCTTAAATAAACCTAACAGTGTTGATAGGGGGCGTTAAACCTATACCATTTCACCATTGTGTCCTTGCAGACGGAGCCTCAGTGCGAGGTGAAGGCCACCAAGCTCCTAGAGGTGAACCTCTACCAGCACTCTGACCACTTCCACGGCCTGCTGGTGCAGTTCTCCGCGCAGTTCAAGGACACGGGTCACATCACGACCTTTGAGAGCCTGGCGGAGCCGCGGCGGCACTACTCTGTGATAGATCCCAAGGGAAGCACGGGCAGGCTGCAGTCTCTGGAGGTGGGTCCTCTGTGGCGTTCAAGTCACGGCTGTCACTTAGTCACCGAGAAACAGGGTCACTTAGTCACTGAGAAACTGAGTCACTGAGAAATTGGGTCATTAAGTCACTTTGTCGCTGAGAAACTGGGTCACTGAGTCACTAAGTTACTTAGTCACTGGGTCGTGGAGTCACTGAGACACTGAGTCACTTAGTCACTGAGAAACTGGGTCACTGAATCACAGAGTGGGATTCTTTCAATTTAGTTTTAGTAAAAGTTTTATGGCATTTACAACACAACAAGGTCTAATAAGTGCTGAAGATTAGAGGTGTTACAAGAGAGTAACAAGCTCAAAAAAGGAGAGGGGGATAAGGAGGATAAATGCTTGATAGGAAAGAAGGAGCAATCCACTCCAGAGCACTTGACAATCTCCCACTTGGGATTCTTTTAAGTAAACGAATCTTGTCATAAAGTACTGTCAGACTGTTTGCTGATACATCTACACACACTCGCCCCTCCCCATCTCCCTCTTTATACTCATCTCTTTTTTGACTGTTTCTGTCTGTCTCTACTCCCTGGGGCGGTGCTACTCACTGAAGTGTCTTTAGGCCTTTCCCAAAGTGGGGACATATCTCCTTCATGCATAGTAGAATTGAAAATGGGCTGATTCATCAATGTCACGCTCATAACTGTGCCTGATCTACAACAGAGAACCTGCTTTTTCTTTCATAATCCTTACTATTGTCATTTTTCCTCTACTTCTTTTGTATGTTTGTCACACTATTGTAACCCACTGTTTCTGGGGTGCCTTGATAGTCGAAGCAGATTTTGTGCTGTTGAAACAAGAGAGGTGAGCAGAGTAAGTCTGATTCCCTCTAAGGACTTCTCTGTTGACATCCACCCCTTGGTGCTCATATGACCTTATGCAGTTGCGAGTGCCGTAAAACCTCTACTAAAACTAACTGTCTGTCTCTGTCGGTCTATCTCTTTTTGTCTGTTTTTTTTTTCTTCTTTGTTTGTGGGCGAGGGGGGAGTCATGGATGAACAGTGGGTTGAATCCTTCCCCTCCATTCAAATCTCCGATGTGGTGGAATGACTGCTATCAATGTCAGTATCTTGTAATTTCTTTAATTACCTGTGTACTTACACGTATATTATGTCTCACAGGGTAACGACTCAAATTTTTCTTTCAGGTGGGCACAGACTTTGACCTCAAGGAGTTGATATTTCGCAACTACGGTAACCTATTGGGGCCTTTCGACGACCTCTCCCTGCGGCACGAGTGGGGGCCAGGTCCAGAATTCACGGTCTCCATCGCCTGGGTGGACCCGACCAATGAGATCGCAGCTTCCTACGACGTTCACATTCCGAGCTCACACTATGTGGGCAATCAACGACCTCAGCTGAACCGACCGCTGCGGCCCGGCGTTTGGTCGGCCAAACTCATGATTGATTTGAAACTGGTGGCCGAGACGCAGTTCCTCGTGGCGCCCCTCACCTTCCACAACAACAAGCCCATCTCCGTGTCAGAGATTCTGCGCTCGCACCAAGGTCCCATCGGCACTTACACGTCCACCGACTTCTCCGAATTCATGCCGAACCTGAATCTCGTGGACAGCCCCAAACTGCGGCAGGAAGCCTCGGACAATGGCAAAAAGACGGGCGTGGAGCTGGACCAGTGGATCGACTCGCTGACCGCGCTGTTCTGGGTGGTGCGAGAAACGTGTGCCATTGAGCAGCTGGACGCTTGTCCGCAGCTGGAGCAGTGCAAGATGACCTCGTGGAGTTCAAGGTCACCAGACGTGAAGTCGGACCCGAAACACGTCGGCTCCAGTCTACCTCTGGCCAGATGACATCAACTGAACGCTAGATTTGTGTTCCTGTCTCTTCTCATGTTGGTTTTATCTCTTTTAGGGGATGTCTTCGTCTATCTGTTCCCTGTGTCTAGTCGTGCCTAGCAGAGGGATTTTTATCTGTCCTGTATCGTCACTTGTAATGGTTTGTCTGCTTTAGAAAACCAAAGTCTGTGATGGAACGGTGACACTATTTGCCGACAGGCAAAAGTCATGACTTCAATTATCAGGTGGGGAAGATATTTTTGGGCATTTCTCCATCTACTATTTCACTTTTCAAGTTCGGAAGAAACCAGCAAAACTAGTAGAGAGTTGGCACTGAGTGGCCCATATTGTGTCAATGTGCTTCTCTTGCCTCCAAATGTGAGGCGTCCTGACAAAATGAGTTACTTCTCGCATTCCACAAATCGATATCATCCGGTGTCAGATCTGCCATAGACATGGGCGATCATGGTTCTCCATTCATTCCTTTGCTCGGATGCTCTTAAAAAAGCTGCGTTTCCCTGATCTTTCCCCGTTATTCATTTGTTTATGTTCCCCAAGTAGGTTGCTCTGGGCCTGCCCCTGCCTCGTTTGCCTTCAATTTTGCCAGTGAGAGCTAGACGTTTATTATTTCGTTTTTATAAATTGTAAAAACTTCACCTATTAGCATGATGTATATCTATTTACATAGAGCTCGAATCCGAGAAGTATCTCATTTTTTCAGCACGCTTCACAAAATGTCTGGCTGCAGAGTGTGGAAGGGATGAGATTGTCAACCGTTGAGTAATCTCCCCGTCACCACATGTCCTGAAACTGTTGTCTTTTCAATCTCTTTGGAATGACTCTAACCCAGGAATGAAACGATTTTCTGGCTTGCTTGATTTAAGAGAAAATCAGCTCTGTACTACCTTTATTCTTTCTGATCTGTCTGTTGCTTTACTCCACACTTACAGCCGTTCACAAATTTTAATAGAAAAGAACATGGACGGCATTAAAGAATAGGAATCTCAACTTTTAATCTGTAACTCTCTCCAACCTGGCTTCTTTCTGTCTCAACTAAGACAACCCCGATTTTGGTGGCTGCCTCGACAATGTTCAGTGGGAACCCTGTTTCCCCTGAATGAAATCTTCTAAAGTGAAGGAAACTTGGTGATAGTTAGAGGGGTTGGTGGCAAAGTGGGAACAACTCTAACTGCATGAAATCAACAAATCCCTTTTTCTTTGTATTCGGCCCTTTTTTTTTTTTTTTTTTTTTTTTTTCAAAGGCCTGAGCAGACCATGACTTCTTTATGAGTTTACAAGGCACGTTTGTGATAACAGTATTTTATTCATAATTTTGTTTGTTTGTTTGTTTGTTTGTGTGTTTGTTTTGTCTTTATGCTGGAGTATCCCTTCTTTCAGAGAGAAGATCAAAATGGAGAGACATGGGAAGAATTCAGAGATTTTTAATGTCTGTTTTACAACTCTCGTTTTAAGAGTTGCACAGCTTTCCATGAATTCTGACACATGCAATTGTGCATGCACAATGTCAAAATGCTGTGACTTGAAGAAGTTGAAGCTTTCACTCTTCCTCTTCAAGCATATTTAGGTCAATATTTAAGTCTTCAATGTTGAGCAGACCCTGGTTTATCCCGTGGTGGCAACTTTTTCTGTCCGCCTTCGGTGATCACGGCCATCGAAATCAAATTTTGGTTCCCAGTACCGGTACCTTGTCTTTGATATATATTATTATTATTCCAGTGGCAAACGCTTCTCATCAAAATCACATATCATAAATTTGTGATACATCGTGCTGGAATCTGGCGCTCGTCAAAATAATGAAATCGAAGAAATGGACATTTTTCTGCCAGTTTGGCAATTTTTATCGAATTTTTGTTTGTTTGGCTCAACACCTTTAATGTCCGTATAAAACACGTGTCTGTGTGAATTTGACTGGAAAACGTTGATTTAAGGCACAAAACGTTAGATTTTCAGTCTTAACGACTCTCAAGCTATTGAAGTTACCAAATTTTGGCGGCCATTTTCTTGGTTATTTTACCACTGAAAACAGGCGACCCCACCTTCTTCAATAGCAAATTTCTCGACTTCTATCCAAGATAGATTGGTATTTATTTCATTGAAAGTACAGCAAATTAATAAGCTTTTTGATGATACCATTAAGTCCACATGACTGAAAATTGACGAGCGCCTGATTCTACCGCTTCGTGACACTTGGAGGTAATCTGTGCAGTTGTGTAGACAAACTGAACTAACAGCTGCACAGAGAAAACTCACACTGACACTGGCAGGTTCATGTTTTACATTTCAAAATTGTCTCCTGTAATGTTACTATAGCAATAGATTATAATCATATGCTCTTGCTATTGAAAAGACAATGCGGTGTAGTTTATTGTGGATCAGAATGTTAAAGATAAGATAAAACTTTATTGTCCCTGAGGGAAATTTTTCTTGGCTGTACAGGACCGTAAAAACTAATGTAGGTATACATAGAAATTAAATTATATATTACTCGAATTAAAATTCAGTATGAAAAGAAAAGTAAAGCTGACAATAATGTACATATCACATCAGATGCATCATTCGACCCTTTTTCATGGCCACCTGTAACAAGGAATAGGCTTGGTTACCAGGTGTTCTGGTGTGATCTACACCTTCTTTCATATCATTCAAACATCTTTCGTCCTTATCTCTCCTCCTTCTTCTGTTTGCTCGTTATTCTCTTGTAACATTTTAAATCTTCGGCACTTCTATGACCTGTTTATGTTGCAAGTGCCATAAAACTCTTACTAATAACTAGAGAAACAAGAAAATAGATTGAGATCTCAGTGACACTTACGAATGAAAAAAAGGAGAAGAGAAGGCTGCGCAAAAGCATCCACCGCCGACTGCCCGTTTATCATTACTGTGTTGACTAAGGCATGCATTTAGGCTGGCTGCCACAATACATATGGATCTTTAGCATATCATATCCATGTTATCATTTCCTCACTGAGCTGATCAGCAGGGTTTATGTTGTACCTGAGGCCTTACTAGATGTGGACGTGCCATGTCTTTGTTCACGCTATGTGTATTTATATATATATATAATATGATATATTTATGCAACTGTATCATTTTTGATTATTGTCGTATGACATTTTATTGTGTTTGTGTATGGTAGTGTAGTTTTGTAAGTGTTTTGTGTGTGTGAGTGTGTGTGTGTGTGTGTGTGTGTGTGTATATGTGTGTGTGTGTATGTGAGTGGGGTGTGTTTGTGTGTGTGTGTATGTGAGTGGGGTGTGTTTGTGTGTGTGTGTGTGTGTTTGTATGTGTGTTTTATGCTGCCATGTTACAGGACATTTCAATAAAACTTTAAATATGTATTGTATTTCATCTCGTAAAAGAGAAATTCTTAGATGCTGTGAAGATGGAAACTAAGTACGCAAGACAACCCCCCCTGACATTTAAAATAAGTAAAAAAGACAGCTTTCCAGCCGTGTGTATTTTATTTTGCAAAGTAAAAGGACTTTGATCTTGGAATACATTTTTGGTGGGTTCATGCCAAATAGAAATGATGGACCAAGCTATTGGACAGTGGTGATATAAAAAGAGAGACAAAACAAGATTTATTTTTAAAGATAGAGTAAAAAGACATTTCTTGAGTTTGACTTTTTTATTATTGACTTTTTGTTGTAATGCATTTGTGTTTACTCTGACATTTTACAGATTTATGTATACTATGTTTGTTGGGTTTTTATTATTGCAACCTTATTTAGAGGTAAACTGTGTGTGTGTAAAATTTAATGTTTGGTGAATTTCAGGTTATGCTGAATGACATCATCTGCTGTGTGTGCTTGAGGCCTTATGGATTATGTTAGTACTGGTTCGAACCAAACTAGGACCTTGTGTTCATTCATGAAATAACATTTATTTCACGTGTATTACCTTAATGTCATTCAAATTTGCTTTTATGGACCGACACATGACTGCTGTAGAACTGCGTCAAGATGTTTTTTTGTAAGAGCGGAATACATTGTTATTTCCTTTATATGATAGTACTGTTATATTATGAAAGGGAGAATGATTAGTTAAGAAAGGACCATTTGAGAGAGAAAATGGATAGTTCTGAAAGGAACACATAAGAGAGGGAAATAGTTAGTTCAGATAGGAACATTTGAGAAAGAGAATGGTCAGTTGAGAAAGGAACATTTGAGAGAGACTGTAGTTAAGAAAGGAACATTTGAGAGAGACTGTAGAAAAGGAACATTTGAGAGAGACTGTAGAAAAGGAACATTTGAGAGAGACTGTAGTTAAGAAAGGAACATTTGAGAGAGATAATAGTTAAGAAAGTAACTTTTAAGAGAGGCAATAATTAGTTGAAGAAGGAACACTTTTCAAAAGTTAGTGACCCTGGCTTGTGATGTGTAGCCTAAAGTCATTATAGGATATGGATGGTTCTGTTCAAAAACATGGATTTACGTTTCAGGATAACGATATCCGGAAAAACTCCTGAGCTCTGCGAGAATGGAAAGTTCTAGACTTGTTTTCACCCAAACTTTTAGTTTCTTTAATCCTGAAAGTTTATGCCCTCTTTTATGTATGAAAGCCAGCCTGTGTTCTTCTTGTTTAGCAGTCAGAATGTACTAGAAATCCTTTTTTGTCAAGATTGGTACCCTTGAAACATGAATGGCAAACCTTGAAGGTCTGTGTTTATTGTGTGTGTGTGTGTGTGTGTGTGTGTGTGTGTATGTGTGTGTGTGTGTGTGTGTGTGTTTGTGTGTGTGAGTGTGAGTGTTGTGTATGTGTTTTGTCGTACTTGAAGTTTCATGAAATTTTTGAAAATGTTATCTCATGGCACAAAGTTATCTGCATAATGATCAAAATACGTATTTTACAGGAAATCCGAAAAATGCAGTTCTGTACTGAGTTTAATGTGTATAGTCTTGCATCAAGGAGGTCACACATGTGAAAAAGCAGACTTTGAGAAAAACAGAAAAAGAACAGAATTTTTAAAGAGGATTTTTAGTTCAATATGCGCTTTTCAAAGACCTTTTTAGGCCATTTAGGGTATTTTTTCCAACAGTTACGACATTGTAACCCGATAGAACAGATGTTGAAGTATGTTTGTCTGCAAAAAACAAAAAAATAGAAAATTTGAACCATTTTATCGATATTCTCTTGGATCGCCGACCGGGGTCTTCCCATAAATGAAGCTTTCAGAGCTGCCGGGGTAAAGAAAAGGTGGGTGGATTTCCCAGTTAGAGTTCTTAATTACCAAGTATCAAAATTATTGCAGTTTATGCAGATAAATATCAAGGCTTTCCATTTGTCAAAGTTTCCTTGTCTTATAAAAGGCTAGCAGTCATGCCTTTGGTCCAAACTTTATGCAGATCCATAAATTAGTAGGTGTTACTATTTTGTAAACTGTGTCGATTGTCTGTTACGTCATGAGTTTGTGCTCTTACATTGATATCGGTGTTCTTTAAAAGATGAGTTTGTGTTCCTGCATTGATATCGGTGTTCTTTAAAAGATATGCCTTATATTTTACT